AGATGTGCTGACCATTTCTCTCTCCCTCCCCTGCAGCCATGAAGTCAGGGGGCACTCAGCTGAAGCTGATCATGACGTTCCAGAATTATGGGCAGGCCCTCTTCAAGCCCATGAAGTAAGTGCCTGGGTCAGTGGGATGGACAGGGCATGGTGACTGAGCTGGGGCTGGGAGTGCGTGGGCACTAGGAAAGCACCTCATTCCCTCTCATGTCCCGTAGCCTATTACAGGGCTGGAAACCCACTGCTGGGCCTCTCTTACCCACTGTACATAAGCATTATACTTAAACCGGGAACCCAGAATATGGACACCAAATATGCCCTCTACAAGAGTGACCTTGTACCTTTCCGGCATACTCAGTACCTGCCCACATTTCGTAAAGGGCCAGACAGTGGCTATATCAGGTCTTGCAAGCCATGTGATCTCTCTCAACTCTTTGGGGGACAGTCCTGGCCACAGAACAACCAGGCATATGAAAGTGATGGGGACCATGTGCCAACAGGCTGTGCTTGTCAAACTAGGTGACAGGCTGGTCTGTCCTGCTCTGGATAAAACAGAAACTGTGTCACCAAAATCAATGTGAAAGTGCTCTGTGGCACACAGAAGCTTGATGGAGGGAAAGTTTGAAAGCCAGACCACCCCAGAAACTCGGGATGTGTACCTGTGGTATGCGACTCACTCTAGTGGTCCTGGGGCTCAGGTGCCCCAGGGGTCTAGGGTGGTTCTGCCATCTTCTGTCAGTCCCAAGCCAGGCAAGAGAGTTGTCGCAAACCCTACACCCGCAAGGACAGGCAAGTTGTCTAGGAGAGGCTGCTGGGTGGGGTAGAGCCTGTGGCAAGCTGCAGGGTGTGACCCCTCAAAGTGCCAACTGCCTCTTGGTTCACCAGATCTTGGCCATCTACCCTGACTCCTAATGTTTAAGATAAGCTAAAAACATGGATTTTCCCCCCTTGCTTAATTTTCAAATTTAAAAAATGATGGTAACTAAGAAGCATTTAAAACATTTTGCCAAACAAAATATAGCTGCTAACTTGCAAGCTGTGGCTGAAGGCATATTTCTGCAGCTGAGCTCTGTTTCTCACCTCCTATTTCTCTGGAAAGATGTCCTGGATGGACTTGGCAGAGGGCAGGTGGCCTTGCCCTGGGCTGAGCACATTGCCCGTTCACCAGGTCTGGGGAGGAGCCAGGAGCGAGCAGAGGCTGGAGCTATTGGCTGTTGGTTGTGGTGGGGTTGGGTCACAGGCACTTCCTTTCCCTTTTTGTGTATAGAAGTGAAATTGATTCGCTCCTTACAAAAGTCTGTCCTGAAAAGGACACAGTGGGCTTGACCTGGAAGGGAGTGGATGGCTGGACACTGCCTCTTTAACTGCAAGGCATGTGGGTAGCCGGCCTCCTAGTGGCTCTGTCCCCGGGTGAGATGGCAGCTCTCAGAGAGAGGAGCTATTTTAAGAAACCTCATTATCAGGACCTCGTATGCAAAGCTTGGGTGGGCAGGCCAGGTTGCTGGTGGCCAGGCCCTTTCAGTACGATGGCTGAAGTGACAGTGTCTTCATGTCCCTTTCAGACATGCAGCAAGGGCACGAGCTCAGCTTCGAGAGATGCTTTTGTGCTTCTCATCTGGCAGATGCATTTTCTAGCTTTGTGAGCTGCCTGGGAAAGTTGGTGCTGGCTAGAACAATGGCCCCTGCCGCCCTCAGGATGTGTTGTAGGGACTCAGGTAGCCAGATTCCAGCTCTGATCCTGCCTTGTTGGGGTCCCTGTGTGAATCTCAGAGGTTCCATTCCCCATTTTGAGGAGCAGTGTCTGGCTGTGGTTTGTAACAGCAGCAGCAACAGTGGCAGTAAGTGAGCACTGCTCTGTGCTGGGGCTTGTGTGCATAAACCTCTGTGCATGACTCTGGGTTGGTGGAACGTCTGAGGTTAGACCCAAGGCTCCAGAGGTGCCCAGACCCCCAGCCTCCACATCTGGTCAGGAGGTGCCCCTGTATCTCCCACTAGGAAGGCTTTGCCTCTGCAGTGGGTCCGAAGTCAGGGCCAGCACGGTCTAGGACAGGCATCCTCAAACTACAGCCCATGGGCCATATGCGCCCGCCGAGAACATTTATCTGGCCTGCCGGGTGTTTTTGCCGCTGCTGCCTGTCCTGTTTAGCAGCCGACTCATTCCGAGGCCTGCAGTTTGGCCCTCCAACAGTCTGAGGGACAATGAACTGGCCCCCTGTTTAAAAAGTTTGCGGACCCCTGGTCTAGGAGGGGGCTGTGCTAGCACAGGGCAGCCAGATGAGATGTAGGCTTAGTTGAGGCCAGGTTAGCGTATAGCCACGGGAATAGGACTGAGAATCTTGCAGCCATTGGGGAAACTGAGGCCCTGAAAGGGAAAGGAGGTGTTCGGGACTGGCCAGACCCAGAGCAAGGCTGTGGCATCCAGAGGCCACTTGGACCCTCCTCCCCGACCATGGCCTGTCATTGATTATGGTCCTGTAGCTGCCGCTGTTTATACCCAAATGAACTTGGGGCTAGGCCAGGGGCTGGGGCTGCACGTTTCTTGCTCCCCAGTGGGTGTGGTTTCAATACAGAAGCAGCTGCGGTTTGTGACCATAGCATTAGGAAATTAAAAACCATGATTAATTGTTCTCTTTAAGAAAGAACTTTCTTCTATGAGCTCGTAATAGCTTTATAAGTTCTTAATACACTATTATGAAATAATGAGATGCACACAGTTTATTTCCTCTGGGATCTTAAAGGATGATGTATGTGGAGGGTCTGGGGGAGCAGCTACAGCAAGGTGGGGACCAGGCCCGGGGGTCCTGTAGAGTATCACTTATGTGGCATGAGGGTGACCATTTAAAATTGTAGTGGTTATATATTTTATTTTAAAAATGTTTTTTTGAGACATAGTCTCACTCTGTCACCCAGGCTAGAGTGCAGTGGTCATCACAGCTCACTGCAGCCCCGAACTCCTGGGCTCAAGTGATCCTCCTGCCTCAACCTCCCAAGTAGTGGGGACCATAGGCATAAGCCACTGCAGCTGGCCAGGGTGTATATTTTGATAGACATAGAAAAATACATATAACCAACACATTAGCCCATGAGCTCCTTGATGTTCTTGTTCTAGGGTTAAAGTAAGTGTGTAATTTTAACAGCTTTATTGAGATATAAGTCACCACAGATTTCACTCATTTAAAGTCTGCAGTTCAGTGGCTTTCGGTACATTCACACAGCTGCTACACATGCATCACTACAAATAATTTCAGTCTAGTTCTCAGCCCTCCAAAAAGAAACCCCTCGCAATTAACTATCGCACCTCAATCCCCCAGCCCCTCTGCAGGCAGACAACCACTGGTCTACGTCCTCTCTCCAATAGACATTTACTCTGGATTTTCATATAAATGGAATTGTGCGACCTACAGTCCTCTGTGACTTGCTTATTTCACTTAACATACTATTTTCAAGGTGCATCTGTGTTGTAGCGTGTGTCAATACACACCCCTTTTTACTGCTAAATACTACTCCCTTGCGTGGATAGACCACATGCTATTTGTCCATTCATCTGCTGGTGGGCGTTTGCATCTACTTTTTGATTATGATGAATAATGTTGCTATGACATGTACGTACAAGTTTTAGCATGGACCTGTGTTTTGCAGTCTTTTGGATATATCCCTGGGAGTGGTCCCCAGGAGTATATCTCTAAAGTTGTGGTGTCACTACAACTTGAAATGGTCACCCTCAAGCCACATTTTTGATACTCTTGGATAGATCCCTATCATGCGATAGCTGTGTTTAACTGTTTAAGGAGCTGATAGTTGTTTCCCACGGGGGCTGCACCATTTTACAATCCTACCAGGGATGTAGGAGGGTTCCAGTTTCTCCACCTCTTTGCCAGCACATGTGGTAATCTGTCTTTTTAATTACAGCCCTCCCGGAGGGTGTAAAGTGGTCTCTTACTGTGGTTTTGACTTGTGGTTCCCTAATGACTAATGATTGAACATCTTTCCACGTACTTCTTGGCCATTTGTATATCTTCCTTGGAGAAATGTCTAATCACAGCATTTGCCACTTTTGTTAGTTGGGTTATTTGTGTTTTCATTATTGAATTGTAACAGTTGTTTATATATTGTGAATATAAGACTCTTATCGCATATGTGGTGTCCTTTGAAGCACAAGCTTTGAATTTTTAGGATGTCAAGTGTATTTATTTATCGTTGTTGCTTGCGCTTTTGATATAGTACTTAAGTTTTAATTTTGAAAAAATATATACATTGGGTAAATAGTGGTGCAGGTGACATGGCGGTTAGAAGAGCGGCAACTTTTGCACCCACAGAGAACAGGCCTGAGGTAGCCATCCTTGTTCTTTGACCTCCAGTAAATGCTGCCTCCTCTCCAGGACTCAGTTTACCTATCTGTGAAGAAAGGCATTGTCAAACTTGACCACCCTCAAGCTGGTTTAAGGAGTAGGGAGTCAGTGATCCTGCTGCGTGAGCCCTGCGGGCTCTTGACAACAAACTCCAACCTGCTTCTTGGAAAAGAACCTTCTAGGCCTGCCCACCACTGCTCACGACACTGGCTCTGACTACCTTCTGGCAGAAATATGCATTTAGCAGTTGCACTAACATTTACCAAGCTCCTGGGTCTTGGTCTCATGCCAAGGGCTGATACTGCAGATGAGACTCAGACTGGTGCCATTGGAGGAGCCATACAGGGCACAGACCTCTGGACTTGAGGGCCCTACTCCATATGCACATTGGTATCTCCTACACCGCACTCCTGTTGCTCAGTGGGGTACACACAAGGTGTGTCCAGTCCAAGCTATCCTAGGGAATGAGGGGGATATGGGTTCTGAGTTGGAGCCACAGGTGTGTGCAGAGAGTAACAAACTTCACAGATGGGGATGAACACACAGTAAAATACACCACAGGTGAGAAGGATCCAACTGTCCATTCATCTGTTGATGGGGATTTGGGTTACTTCCACTTTTTGACTATTATGAATAATGTTGGGGAGGACACCTGGGTGGTTGTGCTCTGTAGGTATTCAGGAAGGTGTCTCAGCATCTTTCTTTAGCTGAGGACTGAGGGCGTGAGGGTCAAGTGAAGGTCAGTTCTCCCCTGGCCAGAGGAGCA